ACTCGTGAACCACTTATCACGCAAAAAAATTATTTATAGAGCCTGCTGTACTTGAATCGCGCTTAACGGCTGTAAGGTTGAACATAGAGACGGCCAGCATCGAGTGGACAGAACGAGGCGCACGTGGGAAACGCGGGACGTTGTAACGCGCCGCGAAACCGAAAGAACGTAACGTCGGCGCAGAAGTCGATAAACGGTCGAGAATAGCCGGCCACGTAAACCGGAATAGACACCGCGCTAGCAACGCGCCTAGCGTCGCTTAATTAGCGGCTTCGCCGCACTAGGACGTGCCGAAGGAGGCCCGTTTTTTCAGGATCGATGATCCGGTTGAGAACCCCTGTCGATTCTCTAACGAGTAACGATTCACCGGCGGTCCTTCGTTTTATGGAACGTTGATTGGGATCGGACGAACAGAGAAAGAATAGTTGGAAGACACGAATTGTATCGGTTATTCTACTGTCTAGGCTCGACTTGGTTAAACGTAGGGCGAACGTGTACTTTAGATATTCGGATAATAACGAAGAATTTGGAAACTACAAGATATTCGACGATATACTTCGTCTCGTTCGGTATCGCTGACATCTTCAGTCAAGAACACGTTAGATTAGTAGCATCACTAGGCTGCACTTAGCTACTCGCAGAGAATATCATAGAATATCAGGATACGAATCAGCAATTTCGCGAACTCGAGATATCCAACATCATCGCGACTATCCATCATTGCATCCTACCTTCGTCGCACTCACTTTCATCGACGCTGAGTGACAATTTGAGAAGACATCACCGCTGACGAAGCTGCCGAACCTAGCGCAAGACGATTCAGCGAAAGGTTTTCAATGCTAATTTGCCGCTGATCGATAACCTATTAAGAATCGCTGGCAATTAATCTATAAACGAAACACCCAGCGAGAGAAACTCCATCTTTCTCGGCCACGCGTAACAGTCCTCGAACTTTCCGTCTCCGTGTTACACCCGAGCAGCAGCAGCAAGTGTTCTGGCTGTTTATCGGCGAGAACTCTAATCGAATCGAGAAGCGAGGGAGCGGCGCGGAACTCGACGGTAGGAACTCCGGATCTTTTCAAATAAACTCGGTTCTCGCACGGCGCGGCGAGCGTTTGCTATTGTTCGCCGGTTGAATGACCAGCACGAATAGAGGACGACCGGCTGAACAAAGCCGCCGGTGAAATAAATGGGATTTCGAACACGCCGCGGAGAGGCTGGCAACAAGCTAGGACATTTTCATTAACACTTCGGCCGCCTTGTCGCGCGAATTCGGAATCGCGATCTTTCCCTGTCGATTTCACCTTTCGAATCCTTGTTTCGCGATTGTCCGAACCGTGAAGAAGCTTCGCGGGTTATGGGAAACTTGAATCGCTCGATAGTCCTCGGCGGAGGATCGAAAAATCTGTGTCGGACTCCATAAATTCGGGCGCGAACCCGTGAAACGACGTGATAGAGATTGCGGCGCTGATAACGGGAACGGAGACAGACAAACGAGATCGGTCCGTAGATCTAGAGGGGAGCAGAGCGTGTGCACGAAGACGTTGAAGGCGGCGATATCGAGACACGTCGAGAATAGGGAGCATCGATTCGTGAGAACAGCCGAACGAAATGAAACTTTGGCACGGTATAAATATCGATCAAGGTAAAAATACCGGTAGTTTACCACTGATAGTTTTCAACGTTCGAGTAAATTTCATTGAAAACAGGCAGTCCGAGTGTAGCAGTAAATGCTACATACATGGGATGCAGTCGCACTCGCACATGATTAACATGAAAATATTTCTACGGAGAAAGAAGGTTAAACGCGCGGAAAATTTCGACAATGGTAGGGTCAAGTCTGCCAGTTCGCCGAGTTCGTTATAGTCGGTGACTATACGCGAACTAACTTTCATACGCCTTTTATAAATATATCTCCCAAGATAATTCGATTCGAATCTATCCTCTTAACTTCGGGCGTCGATTGAAAGTAGAGTGCAAGCGTTGCTCGATATTTCCTATGAAAGTTTCAACTTTCGACTACATATTTACGAGTGGGAAGCATACTTGAATATTAATTGTGATAAACGGGTCGGTATCCCGAATGCTCTGTTGCAAAGGAATAATCAAAGAGGACATTGAAATATTCGTTGAAAAAGTATATAGATTCCAGCCACGTTGTTCCGTTGTTCAAAGAAAGGTGAAAATAACGATTCGTCGAAGGTTCGCGAGCGGAGGAAGGAGTTGGACAGCAGTTCTAAAACGGTGGCAGCTCTGTCCAACGAGAGTCAGGCCGCGTCACGTTTCAACGCGGGACGAGGCACAACGTGACATTTAACGGAGACATTGCGGAGAACCTTCTTAAGCCGGCCGAGCTTACCCTCGGACTGCGCCGCACCAGATAAATATTAATTCGCCGGGCTGCATAAACACGGGAGCCGCGCCCGAAACGTATTTTTCGTGCTGCGAGCAAATTCGCGGAAAGCCATTACGCGCCTCGAAGAGTGCCGCGTTGTCAATTAGGATTTACGATCAGATTAGATAACGGAACTCTCGCGTCGTTGCGATCGCGTTTGGGAATTGTTCGAGATTCGTTAAACCGGTGACGAGTCGCGAAGAAACGACGGTGTTTTCAGTTGCGACGAGTATACACGTCGCGATATTGCAACGGAATTATTTATTTTGACGATCATTTCGGACGTTTAACCGTTCCGGCGCATCGATAACTGGGAAACGAGGAAACCGGAATAGCCGAACGCGGAACGCGCAACGCGTCGAATGAGAAAATTCCGAGGGAATTTCAGCTTTCGTGACTTTTATCTCGGCTCCAGATTACCGAAGCTCTTAACCTCGGGATTTAGGTTACAACCGTGTAAATGTATTTATACAACCGCGGTCTAGTTATTACGAAACAAAGTTCGGGGTTTGATGCGAGTACGCGGCGAGCGCAAACGTTGCCGAGGGAAATCCTCTCCGGCCATAAAGAAAACACTCCACAGCGTGCACTGCGAAATCTGCTTCCAAGGGAGAACCTCGGAAATCCTGGCTGGATCGCGAACCGTGTAATTCCGTGGAATCATTCTTCCTCTAATCGTTACGTTCTCGTATCGTAGATTCCTCGCTTGGCCTTACTCTGAAAAACACGAGGAGAAAATCACCAGAGAAGAACAGGAACAACAGCTAAATAGATGTCCCGCGTCCGTGAATTTCGAGGATGGAAGATGTTTTAAACGATAAATAATGATTCGATGCCGGTGATCGATCGTTTCCTGCGACACAGAGAAAATCAGACAACAGAGAAGACGAAGACTTCGATGGAGCGCATTCTACCAAGAGAAGCGAGAACCTTTCACCGTTGATCGGCAATCGTGGGATGCGCCAGAACTTGGGAAATCTTAATAAATTCCGATGTTCGATACAGATCTACTGAATGCTGCTTGCCAAAATCAGAAAGTAATTGGGGATGACGTCTTTGATTTACGGTTTACAACCGTACCGAACAACAGATCGACAAGACAAATGGAGAGACGATCGACCGATCGGAGCCGCTTTCCTCGGTTAGGCAACCGATTTCCCTGCAACAGCAGCGAGGCCGAAACCGCGAAGAGTTGGCAACGCGATGACCCTCGCGAGAAAAACTCCTCCGACTATCGTCGCGAACGTTCTTCGGCGTCGCGACGGGCCTCCGCCGACGCGCGGGGCGGATCGATGGAAAGACGACACCCTGTATACGCGGAGCGAGATAGAGAACAGAAAGAGACAGAGTGTACATACGATACGTGGACTGCCGCAGCGCCAGGTCCATGAAATCGCGGAGACAGATAAAATACCCTTTCGTGATCGGCTTCGATTCGAAATAGTATTTTAATCGACTCCGCCGCAAGGTGGCATGCTTCTATTGTTGCGTGACACACTATGCAATACACATCTGTATACTCGGACAATAATCAATCGTTGGCCCCCGCCGATGCCCGGGTCCCGGGTGACCCGCCGTCGAGGAAACACCCCTTGATACGAAGGAAAAAGACTCGAGTGAACGGGGACGACCGGAGGCCACGA